AGTTTAATATTTTCAGTGATTAAGAGCTGAAATAATAGATTTTGCACAGTGATTTTTATCCATTTCGATTTACGATGTTAGGGTTAAAAAGTTGATTTTTGTACATGTAGAGTTGGTTTCTATCCAATAATTCTTTCCCCCTAATCCCATGTCACTTTTTTCAAGTTTAAATTTCTCAGAAAAGAGCATAAAACATGAATGCAAATACAACAAAATATCACGAATATACCTGTGTGATAATGGCTCCAAGCAAGTATTTTTTGGCTGATTAGACTCATTAAAAATCAGAAAAAGCTTATTTTTTCCCATTTATTGAGCAAATGGATACTAAATGTGCACAAACCGTCCTGTGTTAAATGCGCACCACTTAATTAGATCGCCCTATTGACCAGAATATCCATCCTCATTGATACCGGGAAAAAGGAGGAAGGGAAACGGGTCAAACGACTGGTAAATTCAACTCGAGGATATGAAAAAAGAGCATAAAAAAGCCCATTTAGGCGCAGGAAAACAAGATCGGGGGGCGAGGGCGGGGGGAGGGGGCTCGCTTGTTCCAAAAAACTGACGAGTGAAACCCCCGGGAAACTGATGACAATAAATAAATAATGAAGCTCGTGACAATTTCGAAATGAATGGGACAGAGACGGAAAAAACAAAAAGAGGAGGAGTGAGCACGGGCGCGAAATCGGATTGAAGAGGGTTTGAAACCGAGATAATTGGATTGCATAATGCTACAGATTACAAAATAAACACCGGTGGAAAATTAGTCGCAACTGGTGATACGGCCGAGTATTGCGTTGTGCCTACACGAAATGCGCCCCGGCCCGAACGGGAGTGCACAGCAATGATGGCCTAAATTTAAACGAGCCGGTGCTGCCACATCCACTCAATTTTACAGGGTGCCTAGTTTTTTTTTGTTTTTTTTTCATTTTGGAAAATCCTGATTTTTCCTGATTTTTTACTGCTAAATCCTCATTTCATAATTTTTCAAAATCCTGATGTTTTGCGGAGAAAATTAATGTAATATAACTTCACAAAAATAGTTCGATAAAAAATCCGATCGGACGGCCGAATTTTCTCAAATCCCGATTTCAAGACCGATTTTTCTTCAAATCCTGATCAAATCTGTAAAATCCTGATACTAAACGCCCTGTTTTGGTAAAAGAACCTGATAAATTGATGACCATACCTGTTCATGATATTAACGTCAGGTTCAGAGTATTTAGACTGAATTGAAGTGAGATACTGCGGGTGATGAATGGAAGCTGAATTAAGGTAGGGGAGAAAAGTGTGCGCCTTAAGGATTAAGGGCTGGTGCTATATTCCCAGCCCTCGAGCCCATTAAGGAAACTACTGAACTATCTTGTGACAAGTCTTTCTATTACATTACAGAAAAAGGTAACGGATCCTATACTGTACCGTCTAATACTAATAACCCAAATGTTATTTTAATGCACCCGAAACATAAAAATTAGCAATGATAGCGTGAACCGCGAAAGTGGGTTTGAAGTTTTATGTATGCGTAAAGCTCAAAGTTAGGAAACAAGTTTAATGACTATTTTTACGCCCAGAATATTTATTCTAAGCTTGGAATTTTCGTCAGGAGAGAATTCACAACTATAGTCGAATTTAAAACTTTACTCCCAAATTTTCAGGATTTTTGATCATGTAAGCTTTCCAAGCCTCTTCCGACCTTTTTGGCTTGTTTTCTCGTGTAAATGTTTTCCACAAATTTTCTTGGCGCGAAGTATCTTGACATTAAAGATAATTAAATTTTTCGGCCTACATATAATACAAAATTTCACGGTTCTGCGATCAAAAGCCATTGACTTTTCATGGCTGGGAAGAATTCCCGAACTTTTCCAGGTTGTCTCTGACTTTTCAAGAAAATTTCACCCTATTGACTCCATCCTAAATGCGACTTTGTGCGTTTGTATAAAAATCGGTCCGATTCGCCTACCGGAGACAAGGTCCACAACATACCCCTGGAGTGTCCCTGTCCCTTCAAACTGGCAATGGCCTGGACAGGCGACTGCAATCCCAAATTCATTTTTCCTCAGGCCACTAGTTGAATCAGCCGACGTAACAACCGAACATGCCTATCATCTGATGATCCCTAAAATAGGAGTATTCTTATGAAGCCTAAAGCTCTTCGAGAAATGGACTTGCTAGATTTCAACGACCACTGATTCAGTTATTCAATAAAACACTCTCGTTCCCACCCGAGCGGCGAACTTTCCCGGTGAATCTGCGTTTGACGTTGTCACTTTTACCGGAAAAGCCCCGCAGCCCCGTGATTTATTGAGGCGAAATGTGTCAGATCGGCACAGGCGTCCGTCCGCTATCGGTGACCGACGAACTAACAAACATGCAAGCGGACAGGTAAACAAACAAACGAACAATTATTATCAAAACGGTTATAGGTATTACTTCCTCTTTTTTGCTTTCCGCCCCCGAATTGTCCCTTTGTTGATTTAATTCATTCAAAGAGTCAACCCCAGACCATTGAACCGATGAATGCACAACGCAGCACTAAACGCGCGTAAAAGCGTTTTTTCCGGTTTAGAGCGGGGTAGTTTCCGCGCGGAAAACCTCTTCCTGAGGCACGTTTAAAGATTTTGGACATTTCAGGGTAGAAGTGTAAATTTTTCTAGCCATTTAATCTTAATTTTAGAGGAGAACATTCATTTAATGTAGGAAAAATTTCGAGAATTTTAGGGAGCAGATAGATTCGTGGATAACGTTTTGCCTATCATCAACACTGCACCCCATTTTGCGATGAGGAATTATTATTAGCTCATTTTAGAAACATCATGCGTGCCATCAGTTTTTCTACGGACATAGGTGACTACGGATGATCCAGAAGTAGTAGTTTTCATTGTAAAATACAGTCCACATGATATTGATGAGGATTCAGTGTTGCAGGGGAAAATATCTGAAAAGGAGCGGGTGAAACTGATGATACTGACTGATAATAACTGATGATATGATGATTGATTTCCTAGGTGTAAACAGATGAGGGGGACTTGCTCTTTAAAAGTTATGACTTACCATGAAATATTATTATGTATTACATAAATTGACAGTACATCTAACTAGAATAATCATACTTTGATAAGCAAATGTGATTCTTGATCTCTTTAAAAATTGGGGAAAAGAGTGAATCTACAAAAAATATTTAGCGTCAAATATATGCACATGCTGTTATCTGGTTGTGCAGGACTGCATTATGTTTAATTTGTGAATGTGTATTTTCCTCTAAAAAAAGGATTAATTTCAGTCCCTTGCCATGCTGAGGTTTTGGTGATAATTCAGACAAAATACATCTACTTAATTTATATGGGTAGATGAAATTGAAAATAATTTTCCTGCGAAATCTCATAGAATGAAAGCAGCAGGTTTAAATGCAATAGCAATGCAGTATTAAGGCAGCTAGTAGAAGTTTTTGATAAAAGAAGGTGATAAGCTGGATGGAGGTTGGCATCGACAGACATGGGACAGGCCTCATCTCAGATTACACTTCCACCATGTGGCAGTGGCACTTGTGGTAGACCATATCCTGGCCTGCTTTGCACATCATTAGCTTTTTGCTTTCTGATGATGCATTTCACAATGCACTGTGTCCACTCATAGAGAACTCTTAAAGTTGCTCAAAGAAACCGCTCTATCCTACCAAGTTTGAGGTATCGTAAAAACGCGTGCGATTCCACGATCCACGCCCATGTCAGCATTAACAAAACGATCTTCTTTGAGAATGGCGTTTGGTGTCACAGATTCCCGTATTAATATTTCTAAAAACAGGCAAGACCTGAATCAGAGAGATCAAGATTGTTCTGAACTAATTACAATGGTGTTTTCTGCATATGTATAAACTAGGGTAGCACTACTTTTCAAAGAATTAGGGAGAAAATTATTATTTTCATAATTTATTCATGATAACAAAAATAAACCCGAATAGAAAAAAACAAGTCCAAATCGTCAGGTCAGGGTTTGCAAAATTTACAACGAGCAAAGTTGTGGACGAATAACGCGTGACACGAATCATCGAATAGATAGCAGCACGCAAAGATTTTCTCTGGCCTACCTACAAAATTGAAGGCGAAACAACAATTTGCGCAACCTGCTTACTCTTTTCGTGTCGATGCCGATTCCTTTACATTTATTCCGTCAAAAGACGCCACAGCTAATTATTCCTTCTTTAAAAATGAACATCCGACTTTCAGTTAGCTAAGAAATAATATTTCAAGATAAAAATCAGCGTGAGAAAACTAGTTTTAGTTCTATTTTTCACATTTATACATAGAACCTTCAATGGATGAGATAATCGTCATTTCAGAGGTAGTAAAATGTCACGAAATGGTAGATCTGCCGTGTGCTCAAGAGTAATACACGCCTGACCATAACCTACGGATATGGAAATAATGCATTCATAGACTCGTATCTTTTTCCCAGTCATTATTACTGAGAAAGGAGCGCGACTCGAGGGTTACATCGAATTGAGGAAAACACAAGTGAATACAGTCGTTGCAGAAATATTTTTCTCGCGAGCAATACAATTGAACAAACGGAGGGAGCAGTCGCCTTTCAGACATGCTAGGAGAACATGACAAGGTGTTCGTTGACAAGTCAGAGGTACGCAATATGCATATTACATGAGAGAACTGAAAGCGGTCTATCATCCAGATTGCATTCTGCGAAGGAACGCTGCGATTTTTATCAGTCGAATGGAATCAAGGCAGCGACGAATAAAACTGGAAAGGGACCGAGTTTGCATTTGATTTTTTTCGACTTCCCTGCTTTTTGTTGTCCTGGGAAAATATTCACGGCTCCGACCGTGATGAATATTTCCACACGAGCCTGAAGTGGTTTATTACTGCTGCTCACGAACCGTCCCATCAAAAAAAGCGACTCTTGTCGAGTTCTATTACCGAAATGGTTCCGACATTTCGTGTGCCTCTGTAAATAAATAACTTAAAATACGCAAAAGCTCGGATACTTACAGCGTTCTCGGTTTTTTCTTGCGATTGAACAGTCCTGATTTTGAGGTCCAAAACTTGAAATGGCTATTCAGCTTCATCTCACGTACCTGCAAAATGAAAGAGTAATATGACAGTAGTGTTAATCAAGGATGAACAAAACGTGCACTAAAAAAAAAGACGGTAAATTTTAGCATACTCTGACGCAGTGATACGAGTATGGTAATGAATACCAGACGCTATGGTAGCATTTACCATATTATGGTATGTATCAACAGATTTTTGGTAAATACTACTATGATTCTGGTTATTTTCGCTAAATAGTATCACTGTGTAAAAAATCAAGTAGACTTATAGTAGATATTACCATACTTTTTTTCAGTATAAGAAAAAATCCAACAAACCAATCATCTTAAGAATAAATTGGTGGCTGATTGCAGTTTTTAAGGGGTACATGTAATAACGAAAATTTCAAAGTTTTAGTAAACTTTCTTGGATAGTCGCAAGGTGTGCGATTATCACTACCAAATTCGATTGAAAATCTCTTGAATATAACATTCGTAAGTCGACTTGTGCTCAAGTTGAGCTTTCTTTTACGCGAACCATTCACGCTCGTACATCTTTAATAGGTAGTGCAATCCGGTAATCAATCGATCGACGAAAACAGTTTTTAAAAATACGTCCTTGATGTAATCGTCCGCAAATTATGATAGTTAGCTATCTACCGATTGAAGTAGGGCGCAACTTTTGGTGAGACAGTATTTGAGGCAACCGCGTCATTTGAATTAAACTTTCGGAAGCTGTTCGAATGGTTAGGAAGTTCACGCAGAAAGCTTGCCTCTTTGCTTGATGCGATCTGACAGTTACAGCTTGTTTGCGGTTTCTTGTATCGTTTCCGAATGAAGTCGTTTGGGAAGCTATTCTAATGCGGCACGGACAAACCCTCATGTTTATAATCTTCCATGTTTCTTTTAGATAAAATAGATCAAGAAAAAAAGTATTTGAGTACAGTAGACTCTGGATTATCCGAATTAATTGGTGCCGGGCCCGATCCGGTTGAAAAAGAAATCCGGATAATAATAGTAAACACAAAAACCACCAACCAACACCACAGTATTCTTATTATGCGTACATCATGTACATACCAACACGAATTTAGAAGATTAACGCCAAACTGAACGACTCAATGGTGATTGTAAATGGTAGCCGACAACCATAAATTACAATACAACGATTAAAGCGCGCAATGCGTTAAGTATTCATGCAGTCTTGTAGCCGCTAATGTGCGTTTTAGGCTAACTAACCGACTGCACTGCGTTCGGCGTAATGCGAGAAGTATTTATGCAATCTAGTAGGCGCTAATGCGTTCCACGCCGACCTCACTGTTTGGCGCAATGCGTGAAGTATTCCTTCAGCCTTGCAGGCGCCAATATGCCTTGCGACCGCTTCTCCGCGGATCCGCTCACTTATCGGAATGCGTAAGTAGTTACATGGTTGTAAAATCGATCCGGATAATCCAGAGTCCGGATAATACGAAGCCGGATAATCCAGAGTCTACTGTATCTGTAACTTTAATTTCGCTTGATTTCACGGGTACTTATTTTTCACATGAGCGAGATACAAAAATGAAAAAACCGGATAAAAAGGAGGCGTAGGGCACCAAAACGCCACCCCGCCCGCCGTGTTGATGAGTTTTCATTTAGGAGTAACCTACTAAAAAAAAAAATTCAACATATGCTCTGATGCACCACATACTGCGACTATTGGCACGCAGAAATGATAGCCAAGCCAATTTTAAGTGATTGAGCTGTTTTACCTGCGTGGATGGATCTGAATGGATAATTGGACACCATTATTTCCATCGAGGAACACGACATTGCCGGAAAAATGAAGACTATGATATGTCTAACCAGCAAATATTTGCATTACGCTCTGTACTAGAAATACGATAAGGCTTATTTTTTTCCATGTCCGATGATCTTCTTTTAATTTTACATTTCATTTCCTAGAAGGAGAAGTAGTCGACGCAACGCGACGCGGCGTTGTCACGAATAATCGTTTCTGCTGGGGACCACTTTCCCCCCTTTTTCATTTTTTTCGCACCATAAGATTATTCCAGCTTTCAACAGGATGCTTGGAATATTTTACGGCAATATGCTGATTGATTTCCTTTAGACACGGGAAAAAGAACAACAATTCTGGAACTTCGAAAGCAAGTATATCACCGAGAAAAAAGATTGGTAGAATTTACCATTCCTTCACACTGCATTTCACACAGCGTCAATTTTTCAGAGTCAATTCTGCCAGAGGAAAGGTAAACATTATCATATATTGGTACTGGTAACCATTCCTCTGGCAGATCGACTTTGAATTCACGCAGTGAGAAATACAGCGTGACGGAATGGTAAATTCTACCAATCTTTTTTTCTCACTGTAGATGCGTCCTATTTTAGGAACTCTACACTGGAAAAGAAAAACACATTGGATCTAGAGTCCAGACTCTTAAAAACATCGACAAGAAAAAGTACTCTTGATTCAATCAGATTTTAGCTGAAATCAAAAGGAAATCCGCTCAAATTAAGAGGCTTGGTTCTTGATTTAAGCAAAAATCCGATTGAATCAAGAGTATTTTTTCTTGTCGATGTATTTAAGAGTCTGGACTCTAGATCCAATGTGTTTTTGCTTCCAGTGTACTTGAGGCACTATTAACCATGTCAAGCAATCTAGACAAGCAAGCCACGTTGTTATGCCACTGTTTCAGCCTGTCTAATTAGGATGACCCCCCCCCCCCCCCCCCCCCCCCACCGTAAAAAATTGGGAATCATGCCCCCAGTTGGGCAGTAACGTCGCTGGATCCGAGACTCGTCATACTTTTGAACAAACAAGGTGGGAGCCCCCAGGGGGGCGCTCGTTAATTTACGGCAGCATTGTTTGTTCAAGGGGGGAAAAAATCCACCTTTGTTGAACTAAGATTACATTGCATCAACGGAATGGTACCGTATCCATTCGGCTACCTATTATTTTAATCGGCTCCTTTTTATCGGAGCATCGTGACAAGAGCGGGGGGCGGGAAGGGGGGGGGGCTCACAAAGGTGCGCCAAGGATCGATTATCCACGCCGAGGAGACAGGAGGAGGCGCATAGGATGACTCCACGGATGAATACGCTGACAGCCATTTTATTTATTTTTTAATTTCGGAAAGACGGAATCAATTTCCACGAGAGAGGAGCACCGCCGAGCTAAGGAAGAACGCCGTATGAACATTCGGGAGTTGCCGAGTTTCCTCCGATAAAATGTTCGTTATTGAGGAAAATTGTCAATATTTTTCCTGGAGATTTTCAGTCTTTTTGGATTAAATTAAGAGCAAAATTACCTGAGAAATCGGAAGAAAAATATTCACAAATTTGCTTGAAAATTAGTGATTTGTCAAAGGAGATTTGGCAACGCCTAAAGGCTCATACGGCGTTTTTCCGTAGCACGGTGGAGCAGGAGGTGAACTTTTCGGAGGGTGTTCGACGCTCCTTTGAGACCGATCGAACGACACTGGCAAAGCGATCGGGAGAGGGGGGGGGGGAAGGGGGGTCGGGGGAGGTGTGAGGAATGATTAATAATAATTAATGATGTTATCGTTATGTTGGCACTCTTGGACGCGGACGGCGACGCGACGCCTCGGAGGAAACTTCCGAGGGAAAATGCCTGTCTGAATCGATGGGAACATTTAGAAAATTAAAAGCCAACCTGTCATCGCCTTTATTCGGAGGAGGAGCAAGTTGTTGAGAAGTTGACGCTCTTCTCTTTCGAATTCACCCTTGGCTCTCCGCGGGACTCGGGATGCAGCCGGGCCCGGATTCGCGCGCTCTCTCGCGGATCACGCGGAATTCCTGCGAGAGTTTTTACTTGAACTTCAATTACTTAAGTAAACAAAGTTAACGGAGCGTCCGGCTCTGCTAATAACTTAACGCTGAGCCCTCGGGACGCTAGGTGTCACTTCCTGCCGTATTTAAAAGCTCATAAATTATAACTTTCGCGGATTCTTGTCAATTTTTGAGATTTTCCGACACATTCCTCAGCAAGTCATTCTTACTTAGTTCCTGCAGTTCCTGTGTGAAGAAAAATCTGTTCCTCGCCGTGAAAAACGGGCGACCAAAAACAGAAAGGAATTGGAATGGGACATAAATAGGCATAATTGGATTGCATTTTGCAAAAAGGAACCACTAGCATTGCAATGATGCTAAAATTGTGCAACTTCATCCTTTGCAATAAAATTGCGGAAATCGTGAAAAACTATGAAATTTAGATGGTAGTTTTTGTCTTAAATTTACAGTTTTTAGCGAGTAAAATAGAAACTATTAATGGATCATCGGGTTTCTCCTCCAAGACAAAAGAAGTTGCACAATCTTAGCAACATTGCAATGCTAGTGGTTCCTTTTCGCAAAATATGCAGTTCAATTCAAGTTATTCGATTCAATACTTTCAAGAAAAAGAAACATTTCATTTTTGAAACTTATTCCTTTCCTGCCATAATTAAAACCTCATAAATTATTTTTAATAAATTACCTAAAAACCCATAATTCGTCGAAGAAAATTTGGCAACGGCTGAAGGCTCATACGGCGTTCTTACGGCGTTTCTTAGCATATAGGACATGATTAAAATGGTACCCGATGATAAGGTACATGATTCGCGCACATGCTTCGTTTCCAGCATGATTCATCAATCTCGAACGGCATCTAAAAGGGAGTGGATTGCGCGCAACTTTCGTTACATGGCCGGTTGCAGAAAGGGTTCGAAAATCGGGTGCAACGGCGAGGGTGGCGGGGCGGGGTGAAAGCGGTTGCATTTAAAAGGAGCTGAATCGTATGATTGCTGAAACGTAATGACTTTGTTGATTCTAATTAAACCTCGGCAGCTTTCCATGAGCCCTGCGCCTAATGAGTGCCTTTTTATCGGAGCGTCGCGTCGGCACGTCTAAGTGTGGTGCATGCGGCCAGGCCAGGCCCTCGAGAGGCGCAAAGTTGTCCTAACAAATACAAAATCAGGCCTGGAATCTAGAATTATCATCGTCATCTGGCAAGAGAGGGTTCTTAAACTACAAAACGAGTCCACGTCCAG